TTGGGGCAACGTTGAGCGAACATTTGGTCAACGTTGGAACAAACGTTGGGAGCAACGTTGTGTCAACGTTGGGGCAACGTTGGGTCAACGTTGGGTCAACGTTGGGTTAACGTTGGGTCAACGTTGGGTCAACGTTGAGTAAACGTTGGGCGAACATTAGGTCAACGTTGGAACAAACGTTGGGAGCAACTTTAAGTCAACGTTGGGTCAACGTTCCATTAACGTTGTGTCAACGTTGGGGCAACGTTTGGTCAACGTTGGGTCAACGTTGGGTCAACGTTGGGTCAAGGTTGGGTCAACGTTGGGTCAACGTTGGGTCAACGTTGGGTCAACCCTGGTACCTTCACTCGAGGCGCTTGACAGTGTTAAAGAAATGAACAAATTGACGAAATGATTCAGATGACAGGAGCGTCGCGCGAGGGTTTGAGGAATGAGCGACCGTGACAGAGGAACACTTCGGAATGACGACAGGGTGGGGTGGGGTGGGGTGGGGGGTGGGGGGAGGGAGGGGGAGGGAGGGGGGGAAGGAGTGGAAGGAAGAGGAAGGCGAATGAGCGACGTGGGAAGTGGTCACCGATCTTCTGAGTGAATGAGTCGAGCAACGACCGCGACGCGCGCCGAGCGACCATCGATCAGCTTGAGGGCAGCCACGCAACGACGACTCTGCACGACCCGGAGCAAGTTTAGAGAAGCGTGGGTGGGTGTGTGGGTGCGTGGGTGGGTGCGTGGGTGGGTGGGTGCGTGGGTGGGTGGGTGCGTGGGTGGGTGGGTGGGCAGCGTGGCGTGGCGCGTGTGGGTGGGTGCGTGGGTGCGTGTGGGTGCATGGTTGGTAGGTGCGTGGGTGCGTTGGTGCGTGGGTGGGTGGGTGCGTGGGTGGGTGCGTGGGTGCGTGCGTGCGTGGCGCGTGTGGGTGCGTGTGGGTGCGTGCGTGGCGCGTGTGGGTGGGTGCGTGGGTGGGTGACGTGGCGCGTTCGTGTGGGTGTGTGGGTGGGTAGCGTGGGTGGGTGCGTGTGGGTAGCGTGGGTGCGTGGTTGAGTGCGCGGCGCGTGCGTGGCGCGTGTGGGTGGGTGGTGGGTAGCGTGGCGCTTGCGTGTGTGTGGGTGCGTGGGTGTGTGGGTGGGTGTGTGTGGGTGGATGAGTAGCGTGGCATGTTACGCGTGTGCTCCATGGGCAGCTGTCACGCTGAGAGCTGCGGTACGTGTCGCTCTGCAGAGGGCGGTCTCCGAGTCGCTTCTCGAGGTCGCCCGCGGCGCTTCGAGAGCAGAAGTGGGAATCGGTGAAATGTGCGGTGGGGGTGGAGGGGTGGGGGTGGGTCGCCTCTAGGTCAGCTCCGGGAATGTATCAGCAACCGCCCAACACGGAGATGACGCGCGCGGATTTTCACGTCTCGACGCGCTGTGTGAAGCCTCACTCATCTACTCGTGCCGGTGTTCTCCACTCGTTTGCAGAGGATCGTGGGGAGGGGCACTTTGGCCGATGAGACGCCAAGGCAGTGTTTGAGGGTGCCCCCCACGCATTATTTTGAAACCATTGGGGGTTTGACAGCGGCCACGACGATTATGATGATGGTGGAGGTGTCAACGTTTGTTTTGTGTCCAGTGCCGCATTATCCCAGTAGCACAAGTGTAGCTACATATCTAGTAGCTACAACACGTGTAGTAGCTACTACACGTGTAGTAGCTGCACGTGTAGTAGCTGCGCGTGCAGTAGATACACGTGTAGTAGCTACACGTGCAGTAGCTACTACACGTTTAGTAGTAGCTACATATGTAGTAGCTACTACTACACGTGTAGTAGCTACTACACGTGTAGTAGCTGCTACTCGTGTAGTAGCTACATATGTGTAGTAGCTACTACACGTGTAGTAGCTACTACACGTGTAGTAGTTGCTACTCGTGTAGTAGCTACATATGTAGTAGCTACTACTACACGTGTAGTAGCTACTACACGTGTAGTAGTTGCTACTCGTGTAGTAGCTACATATGTGTAGTAGCTACTACTCGTGTAGTAGCTACTACACATATGTAGTAGCTACTACACATATGTAGTAGCTACTACACATATGTAGTAGCTACGGGCCCCACACATTAAAGGGCCCCGCGCTAAATGCTTTCAAGCTCTCAATTCCGGTTCAGTGATTCTTCTGCACTTGCTCTATTACTATAGTACTATACCGCCTTCAGCTTTTACGAACGACCGGGTGTCTAAGATTAGCGATTTGTTCGTATCATCTGACTGTATAGCAACATGCAAAAAAATACAATTACTTTACTACGCAAGTAAAAAAATGTGCGTGCTTTAATATTTACGTGTTTGTTTTTTATTAAAATTTAGGGCCCCTTCATAACATTTGCTCCAGGCCCTGCACTCGCTTCTTCATCCGGCACTCGCTGTGTCGGGAGCCGCGTATCAGGGGCCGCGCTAAAGGCCCCAGGAGGCCGTCAGTAGCCTGTGGGCCTTGCGACGAAGAACGCGGATTTATGGCTCCTTTATTTTTATATGGCAACGTGGCATCGCCCAAAATGTCACTTATGGGGGTTTTTTTTTGTTCATGAAGGCCACACGCACCGGGTGGTGTCACTCGCACGGAGGGTGTTGGGGGTGAATCTTGATTTGAAGCTTTCGTGGCTGCAGGAATCCACGCTCTTTGGTTTCTATCGGTAAAGTCACGTAGGTAGAAAAATAAAATAAAACAACAAAAATATATACATCACGACGTTTCGATCGCAGCACAAGCGGTCGTGCTCAGGCGGAAAAAAATGTATCTACCTACGTGACTTACCGAAAGAACCAAAGAGTTATAGTGTTGGGTTGATCTTCTTGGCTTTTTCGGTAAAATCACGTAAAAGGGAAATAATGAAGTAATAAAAATACAACATAAAAAATATATTAATATTTATTTTAATTTTTTACCGAAAAAACCAAGAAGATGAATCCCTGCAGTCACGAAAGCTTTAAATCGAAATTTCGTTTGTAGTTTTATTTATTTAGGCAAGCCGCGCAAAGATCAAGGGGTGAATCTATTCGGAGTGTGTGTGTCTGTATGCGTGTTGTTAGGTCGACTCAGCCTCAAATGAGTACCTGGTGCGGTGTGTAAACATTGCCACTGGAGAGACAAAGGCGGTCGGGCGTGGTGCTGGCCACCCACCCCCTCGTGTATCGTTCTGGCCTTCATAGGTGCTCGCTAACAGCACTTGCCCCTACAGTCTGTCAAGGCTATACGGGGGAACTTTTTATCTTTGTATGCGTGTTGTGGGGAGCGGTAGTGTAGCGGTTAGCGCTAAAAACCTGACGACCCAGGTTCGATTCCCGCTCACGGCAAACATCGGTGACGGGTATCTGAACCGGTCGTGGGCCTCCCCTAGGTCGACTCAGTCTCAAATGAGTACCCGGTGCGATGTGTAAACATCGCCACTCGGAGAGACAAAGGCGGCCGGGCGTGGTTGCTGGCCACCCACCCCCCGCTGTGCCGTGTCTGCCTTCATAGGTGCTCGCTAACAACACTTGCCGCAAGTCTAAGGCTATATGGGGGATCTTTGTCTTTGTATGTCACGTGGGGAGTGGTAGCGTAGTGGTTAGTGCGCTGCGCTACGAACCCGGCGACCCGAGTTCGTTTCCCGCTCACGACCAATAACAGTGGCGAATATTTTAACCGGTCCCGGACATCCTCTAGGTCGACTCAGCCTCAAATGAGTTATTGGTGCGGTGTGTCAACATGGCCACTGGGGAGACAAAGGCGGCCGGGCGTGGGTGCTGTGGCCAACCACTCCGTCGTAATAATTATCAGCGGCAAATAACTCACCTATCAGCATCATCATAATCCAAAGATTCAAACATCAAAATCATCATCATCCATCCAAAGATCCAATAATTCAATCCTCATCCAAAAATTAAATCATTATCAGTAACATCATCACTATCGTGCAATAATTTGACCGTCATCAGTATCTTCAGCATCATCGGTATGTTTATTAGTATGATCACGATGCAATCATTCAATCAATCATCACCATAACACGTCAATCGACTCACGAGGGTGAATTTTTTTTTATTTAACAGGGAAGTGAAACCTGCCTGAGCCTGATGAGAGTCACGAGAGAAATCACCATCATCAGCATCATTCAATAATTTAGCAAAACATGTTAAAATCATCATCATCATCATCCGATAATTTACACGATCATAAAATCACGAGTCTCGGGTGATAGTAGCCAAGGTCATCACAAGCCGGTAAGGATGTGGATAGTTCATCATGCACTTAAGAACGTATTTTGAGTTATAATTCACGACACGTGTTTACACGTAAAGCACGTGCTCTATATATATATTTTTTAAAAATCAGCAGTTTCCTGGTCCAAATGGAAATTACACATTCCTATGGCGGGGTAGGTGTGTGAGATCTTTCAAGAGGGCAGTATAGCCACTTTGTTAAGACGTAGAGGCTTTCGCGACCAATATCATCCACAATAGAGAGCTGGGGGATTTCTTTGGGTTAGATCGCGTAAATGTATAAATGTGTCGTCAAAGCCCGTCACCACCCGACACAGCCAACCAGTAAGGGTCGTCACGTAAACAGAACGTGGCCAATTCGTCACGAGTACAGCACTAACCGGTTGTGTGTTGGAGAGCCAAGCCACAACATCGTACTCAGATTAACACATTCCTGCGGAGGGAACTGGTAGGAACGTTGGGTTGCTCGGTCAATGGCCAGAGTCAACGGCGGCGTGGTGTATTCCGCAAATATGGCCGACTGTGAGGGCGGGCACAAGCCGGCGTGAGTAGGTTAAACGTTGAATTTTATAAGGGCACCACGGGGTGACCAGCCCCTCCCCACCCAGCCCCCACCCCTCCCACCCCCCACCCTCCCCACCCAGCCCCTCCCCACCCAGCCCCTCCCCACCCAGCTCCACCCCCCCTCCCCACCCAGCCCCTCCCCACCAAGCCCCACCCTCCCCTCCCCACCCAGCCCCACCCTCCCCACCCAGCCCCTCCCTGCACGATGGACGGACGGACACAATAATCCCCTGTGGGCTGGTGGAACCAGTAGGTTCCTACCAGTATAAATGGTTGTGTCTTGGCTCTCCGACACACAAGCGCTTAGTGCTGTGCTCGTGACGAATTGGCCACGTTCTGTTCACGTGACAGCCCTGGCTGGTTGGCCGTGGTGGCGGGCGGTGGTGGCGGGTGGTGGTGGTGGTGGTGAAGAGCGAGGCCCCTGCGCGTCACTTCGCGAGGAACATTGAATGATCCCCGCGGCGCCCTTCGCAAGAGTTGGGCCACCATCGCGTGCCGAGTTGGAAAACAAAATTTCACTTCATGCAAGTTACTCGATTGGGATCGAAGGTAAAGATCCACCCCCCTTCCCCCGTGTGTAGCCTTTAACAGACTGTTGGGGCAAGTGCTGTTAGCGGAGTAGCACCGATGAGTTAGGTTGGCACGGCACACGAGGGGGTGGGTGGCCAGAAACCACGCCGGGAGCCGCCTTTGTCTCCCCAGTGGCGACGTTCGCTACGCGCCGCCCCAGTTACCCATTTTAGGCCGAATCGACCTAGGTGGCCCAGGACCGGTTCAGGTGCTGGAGGAGGAAGATGTTGGAGGGGGGAGGGGGGAGGATGATGGAGGGGGGAGGGGGGAGGAGGAGGGAGGAGGATGGGAGGAGGAAGGTAGAAGAATGGAGCGATGAGGAGGGAGGGAGGGAGGGCGAGAGAGGAAACTGCGGCGCTAGGAGGAGATGGCGATGCTGTCGCACAGACTCTTGATGATGTCCAGGATCTCGTCCTCCTTGTTGGGAGCAGAGATCTCGAACTCACGCAGGGAGCAGGCGCCCTCCGCCTTGGCCTTCTCGTAGAGCAGCCTCGCGAAGCGCGCCTCCACCTGGAGCCCACGACGACGCATCCCAATCGGTCACCGGTTCCGGCCGAACGTGGCAAAGGGGTTACCGGTCAAAGCGCTAACCGGTTCTATCGGAACGTGGAGGGAGAGGCTCATGGGAGAGGTGGGGCCGAGGGCGTTGGTGTCACGTGACCAATCCACGTGTTGTGTTTTGTTGTTGTTGTTTAATACCCGACCCAGCAGTACCGGATGAAGCTAATGCGGGGCCTGTAGCAAATGTTATAAAGGGGCCCTAAATAAAAAAAAATCACGAAAATATTAAAACACCAATTTTTTACTTGCACAGTAAAGTAATTGTATTTTTTCATTTGCTATACAACCAGATACGACAAATCGTTGACCTTAAACACCCAGTCGTTGGTAACAGCTGAAGGCAGTATAGTACTATAGTAATAGAGGAAGTGCAGAAGAATCACTGATACCGGAATTGATAGCTTGAAAGCATTTCGTGCGGGGCCCGTAGCATATGCCGCTACTGTTGCTACTCAGATAATCCGTCACTGCGACCCAGGTGTAACTCACGCAGGGCAATGACCGGCTCCCACCCACCACCGTGGGAGGTCAGGGTCGGGCAGGAGCCTCGCGAAGACGAGAGCGGGGATTTGACTCCTCTGGGTCAACAATCCCAGCCTCACCACGGTTCACCGCAGCTCACCACGCCTCACCACGCCTCACCACGCCTCACCACGGCACACCACGCCTCACCTGCACGGTGACGTATTTCTTCGCGCCGTCCATGTCGGGGAATTCCTCGCCGAAGCAGATGGTGGTGACGAACTGCGGTGACGGACCGTGCCAGGTCACGTACTGATTCATTTCTGGCAACAAGAGCAAACAACAACAACAACTCTCTCTCTCTCTGCTTTCGTACGCCTGATGTGCGAGACGCAGAGCAAACGGCAACAATTTCACATTTGGGTGGTCGAGCACAGACAACCCCGGGAGCGAGTGGAGGTGTTGATGGCTGCGACGATGACCCCGGCCATGATGACCCCAGCCACGATGACCCCGGCCACGATGACCCCGGCGACGATGCCCCCAGCGACGATGACCCCAACCACGATGACCCCAGCCACGATGACCCCAGCAACGATGACCCCGGTGACGATGACCCCAGCCACGATGCCCCCGGTGATGATGACCCCGGCGACGATGACCCCGGCCACGATGACCCCGGCGACGATGACCCCAGCCACGATGACCCCAGCCACAATGACCCCAGCCACGATGACCCCAGCGACGATGACCCCAGCAACGATGACCCCAGCGATGATGACCCCGGCCACGATGACCCCAGCCACAATGACCCCAGCGACGATGACCCCAGCGATGATGACCCCAGCCACGATGACCCGTCGCCCTCCCTGCTCCGCATCTTATCTGCCCGGCGCTCCGCTCGCTGCCGTGAGCGTCGCTCCTCTGCCGTCGCAGGGAGGGCGACTGTCTCCAACTTCCCCCATTGGCGTCCTTTGTTCGCCACACGCACCTTCCATGAACTGCCGCGTGTTGAACAGCTGCACAGGGGGGCCCCTCTCCATCTTGTTGGGGGCTCCGGGCGGCGTCTCGGCGCAGGGGCCCGACCAGAAGACTTGCGCCCGGCAGAGGCGCTGGGCGAAGAGGCCTTCTCCCGTCACGCTCAGCAGCACGCCGCGCTCCACGTTGGCGAGCAGAGTCTCCGTGTGGGCCCGCTGCCTCGCGTCGCCCGGAGCGGCGAGGGCCGACGCCGGCGGCGGGAAGAGGAGCTGAGCGGCGTCGCTGGGGCCGTACACGCTGGGGTCGTGCACCGCCGGCGCGCGGTGGCCCACGCGGCACAAGCGCGAGGCCCACTGCTCGCTCACCAGCGCGCCCTTGTAGAAGAACCGCACGTCGATGATGTAGTAGCCTGGTGGTGGCGGTGGCGGGGAGGGAGTGGGTCAGAGGAGGAGGAAGAAAGGTCGTTTTAAGACGCGGTAAGCTATCGCGACCGATGTAAACGTGTCGTTAAAATCCGCCACCACCCGGACACGAAATGTGCCAATAATGCGTAAGAGTTTTTTTGGGTTAGATCGTAATAAATGTAAAGGTGTCGTTAAACCCGCAACCACCAACCCCGACGCAGCCAACTAAGAAGGGTTTCGATTTAAAGCTTTCGTGACTGCAGGGATTCATCTTCTTGGTTCTTTCGGTAAAGTCACGTATAATGGAAATAATAAAATAATAAAACAATGAAACGTCGTGAGAATTATTTTATTATGTTGAATTTTGTTTATTTTATTATTTCCATTCTACGTGACTTACCGAAAGAACCAAGAAGATAGTAAGGGTTGTCACGTCAACAGAAAATGCCAATTCGTTACGAGTACAGCAACACCGCTGTGTTGGAGACTGTAAATGTTGTGGATTTGCTCTCCAACACAACGGTTAGTGCTGTACTCATCTTCTTGGTTCTTTCGGTAAAGTCACGTAGAATGGAAATAATAAAATAATAAAAAATAAAACATACTAAAATATATATATTTTTTCACGACGTTTCGGCGTTGTGGCCGAAACGTCGTGAAATTTTTATTTTATTTTATTATGTTTTATTTTTATTATTTTATTATTTCCATTCTACGTGACTTTACCGAAAGAACCAAGAAGATGAATCCCTGCAGTCACGAAAGCTTTAAGTCGAAATTTTGTGCTGTACTGGTAACGAATCGGCGCGTTCCGTTTACGTGACAAACCTTACTAATTGGCCGTGACGGGTGGTGGCAGGTTTAACGACACATTTATATTTACGCCATCTATCCCCAAAAAAAACCTATATTATGGATGATTTTGGTCGCGAAAGGCTATGAGTTAAACTGACGTGCAAATTAGTTCCTAGTTCAGCACACCGGTTGTGTGCCGGAGAGAAAACTCACAATTGTGAACGTTGTCACAATTGTAAATGCCGTGGGTTTTACTCTCCAACACACCGGAAACTAGCCGGCTAAACTGGCCACACGGGATTCTCCGTGTGACGAAGAAGCGTCGAGTTGAAATGGCAGAAGAAGACGTTAAAAAGAAACAAGTAAAACCCGTAAAAACAAAGTTTTTCACTATAAATCCTTTATATGCGTGGCGGCTAGAGTCCTCTCGTCCTCTGGCTTGAGATGGCTGCCACCTATGGGTCAGATGATTGCCTGCCACCATTAAGCAATTGGTAATTAAATATTAAATTTTTGTCCTAAAAAGTGTAAAATTTTGGGGAAAAAATGCCACGAACATTAATTGTCACGCACAACGAGTCTGTGTGCAAAATGTCAGCTCGATTGGATCACGGGAAGTGGGTTAAAAAACGACCGAAAGATTTGCACGGTCCTAAGCAAGCAAGTGAACTTAATATAAAGGATTTAAAAAGAGGTCGGAGCGAACCAACTTCAGAGGACTGACCACACGGCTCATTTAAAATTTGCTCGAACTTTTTCAACTGCTGCTACTATCAATGCAATTGTGTCTCTGGAATGTTCTTTAAACCCCAGAGAATGATGTACACTATGAGACATCTCCTTTACCAGTGGCAAAATATAGTAGTAGGTTTTACCCTTTCAACTGGTACAAAAAGTGACACCTATATACAAGGCATCATGTTTGCAATAACCACAACACAAGCAGTCAAAATGCAAACAAAAAGAAGCAACTCTGATGATGATAATGATATGCACTGTCCTTGAAGTTGATTGGTCCACACCCGAGACAGCTTTTCTTAGAGCCTAGTCTCCATTGGTGTTGGACCAGATGACGCCAAAAGGCGTACAACTCAAAGACAGCGCACTATCAGAGTATTGAGAGCTCGGGGTAAGAATTTATACTATGAGACCTCCTTTACCAGTGACAAAATATAGTAGTAGGTTTTTACCCTTTCAACTGGTACAAAAACTGACACCTTTATACAAGGCATCATGTTTGCAATAACCACAACACAAGCAGTCAAAATGCAAACAAAAAGAAACAACTCTGATGATGATAACAAGAAGAAACAACTCTGATCATCATCAGAGTTGTTTCTTTTTGTTTGCATTTTGACTGCTTGTGTTGTGGTTATTGCAAACATGATGCCTTGTATAAAGGTGTCAGTTTTCTGTACCAGTTGAAAGGGTAAAAACCTACTACTACCCAAAGAATGATGTTAAAAGAACTTCCCGCAATGCGTACTATCTAGGCATTTCATCAAGTACGAAAAAAAGCGTATTTCAGAGTAGAGGCCCTGTGAGAATGAAACTGAGAGCGCTCTTTTAATTTTTATGTTGCCAATCGATGGGAAATTAATATAATAATAATATCACGAATCGTGACATTATTACGGATCCTAATACAATACAGTAGAACCTAGGAGATGGAACGCACCAGAACTCGAACAAATCGGTGTTCGAACGATATTTCCGAACATTTTTTTGCCCCGGAAACCGAACGAAATTCGGAGGTCGAACGGGCAATCTTGAAAGGAGCTGTACGGCTGAGACGCGTATGGCCAGCGTGCATGACGCTTGCCCAGACAAAGGGGACTCCCCTTCCAAACAATAACACCGCCACCACCAACCACCTCTTCACCACCTTCCACTCAAGCCAACAACTCTCCTTACTACAGGTAAAGTTCAATGTTAATTTATTTCATTTATTCCATATATTTGTTCATTTATTCCATTTATTTATTGTGTTTCTTGTTTTTTTGTATGATTGTATGCATGTAATTACTGTAAACTTCGCGTAAAAAATGCTTTATGATAAGAGATTTCTTGTGTCTGGAACCAATTCATGTCATTTACATGAATTCTTATGGGGGAAATTAATTCGGTTTTCGAACAAATCGGTGTTCGAATGGCCTTCTGGAACGAATTGAGTTCGATTTCCGGGGTACCACTGTATTATAATAATGAATAAAACGCCCAACTTTATCTGTGATGAATATGAATACGATGAACGCTTTCTTGTTTTCATGCAGGGGGCGCGTAGGTTTGCAGCGTGCGTAGCTGTTTGCGCGCTGCGCTACGAACCCGGCGACCCACATACGATTATCACGGTTGGCTATGTACGGTGCAAAAGAAGTTCAACATTCGTAGACACACAGAGTGGCGATCATCTGAACTGATCCTGGGCCTTGCCTGGGTCGGCTTCAGCCCTAAATTAGTACCTCGAGCGGTGCGAAAACATTGGGGAGACAAAGGCGGCTGGGCGTGGTGCTGGCCACCCACCCCTTTCGTGTGCCGTGCCTTCATAGGTGCTCCTTGCTACAGGCTACACGGTGGAGGCACGGGGAGATCTTTGTGTCGGTGCGTGCGTGCGTGATTCATCATTACCTGGGAAGTCGAGCAGCATTTCAGGGCTGTAACACCAGGGCGCCGATTCCATCACTGCCATGGACACCTGTAAGTCAGACGGGACGCGCACGTGTGACGCGCACGTGTGACCCAGACGTGTGACCCGCACGGCGGCCACGCGTTGGTACGCCGCGCGTCAAACACCACTACGGAGTGGAGCGGTGGGACTGACGAAACGCGCTCGAGACGTCGACGTGTGTCTCATCGTCGTCGTCACGGCCACCGCTCGCTGCCCTCCGCCAGATCCCGCGGAAGATGCAGTCGCCCGGAGTGTGGTCTTAGACTCATTCAGAGAGCCACAGACTCACACAGAGAGCCACAGACTCACACAGAGAGCCACAGACTCACACAGAGAGCCACAGACTCACTCAGAGAGCCACAGACTCACTCAGAGAGCCATAGACTCACTCAGAGAGCCATAGACTCACTCAGACAGCCACAGACCCGCACAGAGCCACAGACTCGCACAGAGCCACAGACTCACTCAGAGAGCCACAAACTCACACAACAACTCATACAGACTCACACAGAGTCTCACAGAGTCTCACAGAGACTCGCACAGAGCCACAGACTCATCCAGAGACCCACAGTCTCACACACAGACTCATAGACTCTCACGCAGATACCCATAGACCTGCATAGAGACCCGTAGACTCACACAGAGACCCACAGACTCACACACAGATCCCTAGACTCACTCAAGAGACCCAGTCTCACACACAGATCTATAGACTCACGTTGAGACCCATAGACTCGCACAGAGACCCATTTTTAAATCCTTTATATTAAGTTCACTTGCTTGCTTGCGTGCTTACGACCGTGCAAATCTTTCGGTCGTTTTTAACCCACTTCCCGTGATCCAATCGAGCTGACATTTTGCACACAGACTCGTTGTGCGAGACAATTTATTTTCGTGAAAATTTTTTTCCAAAATTGTACACTTTTTAGGAAATTTTTATTTATTTAATTACCAATTGCTTAATGGTGGCAGGCAATCATCTGACCCATAGGTGGCAGCCATCTCAAGCCAGAGGACGAGTGGACTCTAGCCGCCACGCATATAAAGGATTTATGGTGAAAAACGTTGTTTTTACGGGTTAATTTTTCTTGTCTAAACATCGCCACTTAGGAGTTAAAGGCGGTCGAGCGTGGGTGTTGGTCAGCCCACCCCACTTGCCACTTGCACTGTGCCGTGTTGGCCTTGATTCACGAGCGCTCATTAAAACCACTTGCCTCCACAGTTCGTTCGAGGCTATACGGGGGATCTGTATCTTTACCTGCGTGCATTGTGTGTGTGGGTGTCAGTGGTTCCGTACTGAAAGCATCAATAAATCTCGGAAATTTCGCCTGACCCCCCCCCCCCCCCCCCACGTCTCCACGTGGTCTCAACGTCCACCTTTTTTTCTCCCCTCTTCCTGGTTTGGGTGGTTGACTCCCCATCATCATCATCGTCGTCATCGTCGTCGTCCGTCCGGGGTCGATAAAATAGCTAACATCTTCTTGGTTCTTTCGGTAAAGTCACTTCCCTTCTACGTGACTTTACCGAAAGAACCAAGAAAATGGAAATAATGTTTTATTTTTATTATTTCCATTCTACGTGACTTTACCGAAAGAACCAAGAAAATGGAAATAATGTTTTATTTTTATTATTTCCATTCTACGTGACTTCACCGAAAGAACCAAGAAAATGGAAATAATGTTTATTTTTATTATTTCCATTCTACGTGACTTTACCGAAAGAACCAAGAAAATGGAAATAATGTTTTATTTTTATTATTTCCATTCTACGTGACTTTACCGAAAGAACCAAGAAAATGGAAATAATGTTTTATTTTTATTATTTCCATTCTACGTGACTTTACCGAAAGAACCAAGAAAATGGAAATAATGTTTTATTTTTATTATTTCCATTCTACATGACTTTACCGAAAGAACCAAGAAAATGGAAATAATGTTTTATTTTTATTATTTCCATTCTACGTGACTTCACCGAAAGAACCAAGAAAATGGAAATAATGTTTTATTTTTATTATTTCCATTCTACGTGACTTTACCGAAAGAACCAAGAAAATGGAAATAATGTTTTATTTTTATTATTTCCATTCTACGTGACTTTACCGAAAGAACCAAGAAAATGGAAATAATGTTTTATTTTTATTATTTCCATTCTACGTGACTTTACCGAAAGAACCAAGAAAATGGAAATAATGTTTTATTTTTATTATTTCCATTCTACGTGACTTCACCGAAAGAACCAAGAAAATGGAAATAATGTTTTATTTTTATTATTTCCATTCTACGTGACTTTACCGAAAGAACCAAGAAAATGGAAATAATGTTTTATTTTTATTATTTCCATTCTACGTGACTTCACCGAAAGAACCAAGAAAATGGAAATAATGTTTTATTTTTATTATTTCCATTCTACGTGACTTTACCGAAAGAACCAAGAAAATGGAAATAATGTTTTATTTTTATTATTTCCATTCTACGTGACTTTACCGAAAGAACCAAGAAAATGGAAATAATGTTTTATTTTTATTATTTCCATTCTACGTGACTTTACCGAAAGAACCAAGAAAATGGAAATAATGTTTTATTTTATTATTTCCATTCTACGTGACTTTACCGAAAGAACCAAGAAAATGGAAATAATGTTTTATTTTATTATTTCCATTCTACGTGACTTTACCGAAAGAACCAAGAAATGGAAATAATGTTTTATTTTTATTATTTCCATTCTACGTGACTTTACCGAAAGAACCAAGAAAATGGAAATAATGTTTTATTTTTATTATTTCCATTCTACGTGACTTTACCGAAAGAACCAAGAAAATGGAAATAATGTTTTATTTTTATTATTTCCATTCTACGTGACTTCACCGAAAGAACCAAGAAAATTGAAATAATGTTTTATTTTTATTATTTCCATTCTACGTGACTTTACCGAAAGAACCAAGAAAATGGAAATAATGTTTTATTTTTATTATTTCCATTCTACGTGACTTTACCGAAAGAACCAAGAAAATAGAAATAATGTTTTATTTTTATTATTTCCATTCTACGTGACTTTACCGAAAGAACCAAGAAAATGGAAATAATGTTTTATTTTTATTATTTCCATTCTACGTGACTTTACCGAAAGAACCAAGAAAATGGAAATAATGTTTTATTTTTATTATTTCCATTCTACGTGACTTTACCGAAAGAACCAAGAAAATGGAAATAATGTTTTATTTTTATTATTTCCATTCTACGTGACTTTACCGAAAGAACCAAGAAAATGGAAATAATGTTTTATTTTTATTATTTCCATTCTACGTGACTTCACCGAAAGAACCAAGAAAATGGAAATAATGTTTTATTTTTATTATTTCCATTCTACGTGACTTTACCGAAAGAACCAAGAAAATGGAAATAATGTTTTATTTTTATTATTTCCATTCTACGTGACTTCACCGAAGGAACCAAGAAAATGGAAATAATGTTTTATTTTTATTATTTCCATTCTACGTGACTTCACCGAAAGAACCAAGAAAATGGAAATAATGTTTTATTTTTATTATTTCCATTCTACGTGACTTTACCGAAAGAACCAAGAAAATGGAAATAATGTTTTATTTTTATTATTTCCATTCTACGTGACTTCACCGAAAGAACCAAGAAAATGGAAATAATGTTTTATTTTTATTATTTCCATTCTACGTGACTTCACCGAAAGAACCAAGAAAATGGAAATAATGTTTTATTTTTATTATTTCCATTCTACGTGACTTTACCGAAAGAACCAAGAAAATGGAAATAATGTTTTATTTTTATAATTTCCATTCTACGTGACTTTACCGAAAGAACCAAGAAAATGGAAGTAATGTTTTATTTTTATTATTTCCATTCTACGTGACTTCACCGAAAGAACCAAGAAAATGGAAATAATGTTTTATTTTTATTATTTCCCTTCTACGTGACTTTACCGAAAAAACCAAGAAGATGAATCCCTGCAGTCACGAAAGCTTTAAATCGAAAAATGGCTACCACTTTGCGGGGATGCCAACGGTGATTGTGCCTTGGATAGACTCCGCCCCCAACTCCCCGCCATAGGAATGTGGAATGTCCCAATACTGCCGACTGTGGACTAACCACACGACGCGCCCCTCCGCGTCGCTCATCGTGGACGCTAAAGATGCCGTGACGTCAGTCGAGGAAGAGTAGGCCAATGTGTGTCCCGGCGCCCGCGGTCAAAATTTAGCCGAATTAGAAAACGATTCGCCAGACACGACCCTCCTGGAGAAGAGCCGAGAGACTCGTCAGAGCGAGTCTCTCCCGTGTTGCCCTCGCCCCGCGCGCCCGTCTCGTCGTGTTGAGTTCTTTTACGAGTTCCCCGAAATTGTGACGAGTCCTGGGCTCACCCCCCCCCCACGCCAGCGAACTTTGGACCGGAGGGCGTTTCACAAACCCACCCGGGACGCAGGCCTTGACAGCCCCACGTCGCACTCAGCCGCACGCGACACCACACGCTCACCAACTCACCCGCACGCTCACCAACTCACCCGCACGCTCACCAACTCACCCGCATGCTCACCAACTCACCCAAACGCTCACCAACTCACCCGCACGCTCACCAACTCACCCGCACGCTCACCAACTCACCCGCACGCTCACCAACTCACCCGCACGCTCACCAACTCACCCGCATGCTCACCAACTCACCCGCACGCTCACCAACTCACCCGCACGCTAACCAACTCACCCGCACGCTCACCAAATCACCCGCACGCTCACCAACTCACCCGCACGCTCACCAACTCACCCGCACGCTCACCAACTCACCCGCATGCTCACCAGCTCACCCACATGCTCACCAACTCACCCACACGCTCACCAACTCACCCACATGCTCACCAACTCACCCGCATGCTCACCAACTCACCCACACGCTCACCAACTCACCCACACGCTCACCAACTCACCCGCACGCTCACCAACTCACCCGCACGCTCACCAACTCACCCACACGCTCACCAACTCACCCACACGCTCACCAACTCACCCGCACGCTCACCAACTCACCCGCATGCTCACCAAATCACCCACACGCTCACCAACTCACCTGCACGCTAGCCCACACGCTCACCAACTCACCCACATGCTCACTAACTCACCCACATGCTCACCAACTTACCCGCATGCTCACCAACTCACCCGCACGCTCACCAACTCACCCACATGCTCACCAACTCACCCACATGCTCACCAACTCACCCGCATGCTCACCTGCACGCTCACCAACTCACCCACATGCTCACCAACTCACCCGCACGCTCACAAACTCACCCACATGCTCACCAACTCACCCACATGCTCACCAACTCACCCGCATGCTCACCAACTCACCCGCATGCTCACCAACTCACCCACACGCTCACCAACTCACCCACACGCTCACCAACTCACCCACACGCTCACCAACGCACCCACACGCTCACCAACTCACCCACACGCTCACCAAATCAACCACACGCTCACCAACTCGCCCACACGCTCACCAACTCACCCGCATGCTCACCAACTTACCCGCATGCTCACCCGCACGCTCACCAACTCACCCACACGCTCACCAAATCAACCACACGCTCACCAAATCAACCACACGCTCACCAACTCACCCACATGCTCACCAACTTACCCGCATGCTCACCTGCACGCTCACCAACTCACCCACATGCTCACCAACTCACCCACACGCTCACCAACTCACCCACACGCTCACCAACGCACCCACACGCTCACCAACTCACCCACACGCTCACCAAATCAACCACACGCTCACCAACTCGTCCACACGCTCACCAACTCACCCACACGCTCACCAACTCACCCACATGCTCACCAACTCACCCACACGCTCACCAACTCACCCGCATGCTCACCAACTCACCCGCACGCTCACCAACTCACCCACATGCTCACCAACTCACCCGCATGCTCACCCGCACGCTCACCAACTCACCCACATGCTCACCAACTCACCCACATGCTCACCAACTCACCCGCATGCTCACCAACTCACCCACACGCTCACCAACTCACCCGCACGCTCACCAACTCACCCGCATGCTCACCAACTCACCCGCATGCTCACCAACTCACCCACATGCTCACCAACTCACCCGCACGCTCACCAACTCACCCACATGCTCACCAACTCACCCGCATGCTCACCAACTCACCCGCACGCTCACCAACTCACCCGCATGCTCACCAACTCACCCACACGCTCACCAACTCACCCACATGCTCACTAACTCACCCACATGCTCACCAACTCACCCACATGCTCACCAACTCACCCGCACGCTCACCAACTCACCCGCATGCTCACCAACTCACCCACATGCTCACCAACTCACCCGCATGCTCACCCGCACGCTCACCAACTCACCCACATGCTCACCAACTCACCCGCATGCTCACCAACTCACCCACATGCTCACCAACTCACCCGCACGCTCACCAACTCACCCACATGCTCACCAACTCACCCACATGCTCACCAACTCACCCGCACGCTCACCAACTCACCCACATGCTCACCAACTCACCCGCACGCTCACCAACTCACCCGCACGCTCACCAACTCACCCACATGCCTCACCAACTCACCCGCACGCTCACCAACTCACCCACACGCTCATCAACTCACCCACACGCTCACCAACTCACCCGCACGCTCACCAACTCACCCACACGCTCACCAACTCACCCACATGCTCACCAACTCACCCGCACGCTCACCAACTCACCCACATGCTCACCAACTCACCCGCATGCTCACCAACTCACCCACATGCTCACCAACTCACCCACATGCTCACCAACTCACCCGCACGCTCACCAACTCACCCACATGCTCACCAACTCACCCACACGCTCACCAACTCACCCACACGCTCACCAACTCGCCCACACGCTCACCAACTCACCCGCATGCTCACCAACTCACCCACACGCTCACCAACTCACCCACACGCTCACCAACTCACCCACATGCTCACCAACTCACCCGCACGCTCACCAACTCACCCACATGCTCACCAACTCACCCGCATGCTCACCAACTCACCCACATGCTCACCAACTCACCCACATGCTCACCAACTCACCCGCACGCTCACCAACTCACCCACATGCTCACAAACTCACCCACACGCTCACCAACTCACCCACATGCTTACCAACTCACCCACACGCTCACCAACTCACCCACACGCTCACCAACGCACCCACACGCTCACCAACTCACCCACATGCTCACCAACTCACCCACATGCTCACCAACTCACCCGCACGCTCACCAACTCACCCACATGCTCACCAACTCACCTACATTCTCACCAACTCACCCACACGTTCACCAACGCACCCACACGCTCACCAACTCACCCACACGCTCACCAACTCACCCGCACGCTCACAAACTCACCCACATGCTCACCAACTCACCTACATGCTCACCAACTCACCCACACGCTCACCAACTCACCCACACGCTCACCAACGCACCCACACGCTCACCAACTCACCCACATGCTCACCAACTCACCCACATGCTCACCAACTCACCCACATGCTCACCAACTCACCCACACGCTCACCAACTCACCCGCATGCTCACCAACTCACCCACACGCTCACCAACTCACCGCACGCTCACCAACTCACCCACATGCTCACCAACTCACCCGCACGCTCACCTACTCACCCACACGCTCACCAACTCACCCACACGCTCACCAACTCACCCGCACGCTCACCAACTCACCCACTTGCTCACCAACTCACCCACACGCTCACCAACTCACCCGCACGCTCACCAACTCACCCACACGCTCACCAACTCACCCGCACGCTCACCAACTCACCCACATGCTCACCAACTCACCCACACGCTCACCAACTCACCCACTTGCTCACCAACTCACCCGCACGCTCACCAACTCAACCCCATGCTCACCAACTCACCCACATGCTCACCAACTCACCCGCACGCTCACCAACTCACCCACACGCTCACCAACTCACCCGCACGCTCACCAACTCACCCACATGCTCACCAACTCACCCGCACGCTCACCAACTCACCCACTTGCTCACCAACTCACCCGCACGCTCACCAACTCAACCCCATGCTCACCAACTCACCCACACGCTCACCAACTCACCCACATGCTCACCAACTCACCCGCATGCTCACCAACTCACCCGCACGCTCACCAACTCACCCGCACGCTCACCAACTCACCCACATGCTCACCAACTCACCCACATGCTCACCAACTCACCCACATGCTCACCAACTCACCCACATGCTCACCAACTCACCCACATGCTCACCAACTCACCCACACGCTCACCAACTCACCCGCACGCTCACCAACTCACCCGCACGCTCACCAACTCACCCGCACGCTCACCAACTCACCCGCACGCTCACCAACTCACCCGCACGCTCACCAACTCACCCACATGCTCACCAACTCACACGCACGCTCACCAACTCACCCGCACGCTCACCAACTCACCCGCACGCTCACCAACTCACCCGCATGCTCACCAACTCACCCACATGCTCACCAACTCACCCACATGCTCACCAACTCACCCGCACGCTCACCAACTCACCCGCACGCTCACCAACTCACCCGCACGCTCACCAACTCACCCACACGCTCACCAACTCACCCACACGCTCACCAACTCACCCGCATGCTCACCAACTCACCCGCACGCTCACCAACTCACCCACATGCTCACCAACTCACCCACACGCTCACCAACTCACCCACATGCTCACCAACTCACCCACACGCTCACCAACTCACCCCCATGCTCACCCGCACGCTCACCAACTCACCCACATGCTCACCAACTCACCCACATGCTCACCAACTCACCCACATGCTCACCAACTCACCCGCATGCTCACCAACTCACCCGCACGCTCACCAACTCACCCACACGCTCACCAACTCACCCACACGCTCACCAACTCACCCACATGCTCACCAACTCACCCACACGCTCACCAACTCACCTACATGCTCACCAACTCACCCGCACGCTCACCAACTCACCCACACGCTCACCAACTCACCCACATGCTCACCAACTCACCCACATGCTCACCAACTCACCCCCATGCTCACCAACTCACCCACACGCTCACCAACTCACCCACACGCTCACCAACTCACCCACACGCTCACCAACTCACCCACATGCTCACCAACTCACCTACACGCTCACCAACTCACCTGCACGCTCACCAACTCACCCGCACGCTCACCAACTCACCCACACGCTCACCAACTCACCCACACGCTCACCAACTCACCCACATGCTCACCAACTCACCCACACGCTCACCAACTCACCCACATGCTCACCAACTCACCTACACGCTCACCAACTCACCTGCACGCTCACCAACTCACCCACACGCTCACCCACACGCCCCCACGTAGCAGGACCCTCCTAAAAGAGTCCTGATGACGACAACGATGATTACGAAAATGATGTTGATGTTGACGACGATGTTGATGTTGACGACGATGATGATGATGATTATTACGACGATGATGTTTACGACGATGATGATTACGATGTTGATGACGACGATGATGTTGACAACGATGATGTTGACGACGATGACGTTGACGACGATGATGATGATGATTATTACGACGATGATGTTTACGACGATGATGATTACGATGTTGATGACGACGATGATGTTGACGACGATGATGTTGACGACGATGATGTTGACGACGATGATGATGATGATTATTACGACGATGATGTTTACGACAATGATGATTACGATGTTGATGACGACGATGATGTTGACGACGATGATGATGTAGCACCTGTACCTCCTGGTTCTCTTCAGGTTCTTCTGGCGGCATGATCTCATCGCTGTCACGGGCACAGTCACCTGTGAAGAGAACGGTCACGGAGCGTCGATCAACTATTTCCATTTCACCAAGTGAAGGCCCACTGAGGTGTCGCAACATTATTCAGAAGCGACGTGGCCACAAATGACAGCTCAAGAAAGTGGCTCGTCACGTGGACATTTCGAGTGGAGGCCAAAGACTCTGAGCGCACGCCCATCCTAAATGTGGAGGCGGAAAAACCGGAGAAAAATCCACAAGACCACGGGGAGACAGAGAGAGACACGCAAATTCCAATATACAGCAGCAGGCTTCGGGGTCGGGATCGAACCCACGACCTCCTGCACACCAGGCGAAGGAGTTAACATCCCCTAACCACCGTGATGATGAGAGAGAGACACGCAAACTCCAAATATACAGCAGCAGGCGTCGGGGTCGGGATCGAGCCCACGACCTCCTGCATACCAGGCGAGGTAGTTAACATCTCCTAGCCACCGTGTTGATGATGAAAGAGAGAGACACGCAAACTCCAAATATACAGCAGCAGGCGTCGGGGTCGGGATCGAACCCACGACCTCCTGTGTACCAGGCGAGGTAGTTAACATCTCCTAGCCACCGTGATGATGAGAGAGAGAGACACGCAAATTCCAATATACAGCAGCAGTCGTCGGGGTCGGGATCGAACCCACGACCTCCTGTATACCAGGCGAGGGAGTTAACATCTTCTAGCCACCGTGATGATGATGAAAGAGAGAGACACGCAAATTCCAATATACAGCAGCAGGCGTCGGGGTCGGGATCGAACCCACGACCTCCTGTATACCAGGCGAGGTAGTTAACATCTCCTAGCCACCGTGATGATGATGAAAGAGAGAGACACGCAAATTCCAATATACAGCAGCAGGCGTCGGGGTCGGGATCGAACCCACGACCTCCTGTATAGCAGGCGAGGTAGTTAACATCTCCTAGCCACCGTGATCATGATGAGAGAGAGAGACACGCAAACTCCAAATATACCGCAGCAGGCGTCAGGGTCGGGATCGAACCCACGACCTCCTGTACACCAGGCGAGGGAGTTAACATCTCCTAGCCACCGTGATGATGATGAAAGAGAGAGAGAGACACGCAAATTCCAATATGCAGCAGCAGTCGTCGGGGTCGGGATCGAACCCACGGCCTCCTGTGTACCAGGCGAGGGAGTTAACATCTCCTCGCCACCGTGATGATGATGAGAGAGAGAGACACGCAAACTCCAAATATACAGCAGGTGTCAGGGTCGGGATCGAACCCACGACCTCTTGTACACCAGGCGAGGTAGTTAACATCTCCTAGCCACGGTGATGATGATGAAAGAGAGAGACACGCAAACTCCAAATATACAGCAGCAGGCGTCGGGGTCGGGATCGAACCCACGACCTCCTGCGTACCAGGCGAGGGAGTTAACATCTTCTAGCCACCGTGATGATGATGAGAGAGACACGCAAACTCCAAATTTATAGCAGCAGTCGTCGGGGTCGGGATCGAACCCACGACCTCCTGTGTACCAGGCGAGGGAGTTAACATCTTCTAGCCACCGTGATGATGATGAGAGAGACACGCAAACTCCAAATTTATAGCAGCAGTCGTCGGGGTCGGGATCGAACCCACGACCTCCTGTATACCAGGCGAGGGAGTTAACATCTTCTAGCCACCGTGATGATGATGAAAGAGAGAGACACGCAAATTCCAATATACAGCAGCAGGCGTCGGGGTCGGGATCGAACCCACGACCTCCTGTATACCAGGCGAGGTAGTTAACATCTCCTAGCCACCGTGATGATGATGAAAGAGAGAGACACGCAAATTCCAATATACAGCAGCAGGCGTCGGGGTCGGGATCGAACCCACGACCTCCTGTATAGCAGGCGAGGTAGTTAACATCTCCTAGCCACCGTGATCATGATGAGAGAGAGAGACACGCAAACTCCAAATATACCGCAGCAGGCGTCAGGGTCGGGATCGAACCCACGACCTCCTGTACACCAGGCGAGGGAGTTAACATCTCCTAGCCACCGTGATGATGATGAGAGAGAGAGAGAGACACGCAAATTCCAATATGCAGCAGCAGTCGTCGGGGTCGGGATCGAACCCACGGCCTCCTGTGTACCAGGCGAGGGAGTTAACATCTCCTCGCCACCGTGATGATGATGAGAGAGAGAGACACGCAAACTCCAAATATACAGCAGGTGTCAGGGTCGGGATCGAACCCACGACCTCTTGTACACCAGGCGAGGTAGTTAACATCTCCTAGCCACGGTGATGATGATGAAAGAGAGAGACACGCAAACTCCAAATATACAGCAGCAGGCGTCGGGGTCGGGATCGAACCCACGACCTCCTGCGTACCAGGCGAGGGAGTTAACATCTTCTAGCCACCGTGATGATGATGAGAGAGACACGCAAACTCCAAATTTATAGCAGCAGTCGTCGGGGTCGGGATCGAACCCACGACCTCCTGTGTACCAGGCGAGGGAGTTAACATCTCCTAGCCACCGTGATGATGATGAGAGAGAGACACGCAAACTCCAAATATACAGCAGCAGGCATCAGGGTCGGGATCGAACCCACGACCTCCTGTATACCAGGCGAGGGAGTTAACATCTCCTAGCCACCGTGATGATGATGAAAGAGAGAGACACGCAAACTCCAAATATACAGCAGCAGGCGTCAGGGTCGGGATCGAACCCACGACCTCCTGTACACCAGGCGAGGGAGTTAACATCTCCTAGCCACCGTGATTATGATTAGAGAGAGAGAGACACGCAAACTCCAAATATACAGCAGCAGACGTCGGGGTCGGGATCGAACCCACGACCTCCTGTGTACCAGGCGAGGGAGTTAACATCTCTTCGCCACCGTGATGATGATGAGAGAGAGAGACACGCAAACTCCAAATATACAGCAGGTGTCAGGGTCGGGATCGAACCCACGACCTCTTGTACACCAGGCGAGGTAGTTAACATCTCCTAGCCTCCGTGATGATGATGAAAGAGAGAGACACGCAAACTCCAAATATACAGCAGCAGGCGTCGGGGTCGGGATCGAACCCACTACCTCCTGCGTACCAGGCGAGGGAGTTAACATCTTCTAGCCACCGTGATGATGATGAGAGAGACACGCAAACTCCTAATTTATAGCAGCAGGCATCAGGGTCGGGATCGAACCCACGACCTCCTGTGTACCAGGCGAGGGAGTTAACATCTCCTAGCCACCACAGTGTCCTTGGTATCGGAACACGAAACAGATCAGCAATGTCTCCCATATTTGTCTCTCAACATGAAGACATTTAAAGTAAACAGATACATATTAAAAACTAATTTTCGCATCCGATCAACACGGACACATTTCTTTTGGGAGCGATCACGTTCGACGGCGCTGTGCGGCAACGCAAAGAAACACTCAAGACCGGTTTCACCATATCAGCACCGTGGCACCCCAGAGACACGCAGAGACAGACTGCTGACAGTGAGACACACAGAGACACACAGAGACACACAGATACACACTACTGACAGTGAGACACACACAGAGACACACAGAGAGACACAGAGACACGCAGAGACACACTACTGACAGTGAGACACACATAGACACACAGAGAGACACACAGAGACACACAGAGACACACTACTGACAGAGACACACAGAGACACACAGAGACACGCAGAGATACACTACTGACAGTGAGACACACAGAGACACACAGAGAGACACACAGAGACACACAGAGACACACTACTGACAGCGAGACACACAGAGACACACAGAGACACACTGCTGACAGTGAGACACACAGAGACACACAGAGACACAGATACACACTACTGACAGCGAGACACACAAAGTCACATAGAGACACACAGAGACACACTGCTGACAGTGAGACACACAGACACACACAGAGACACACATATACACACTGCTGGTAGTGAGACACACAGACACACAGAGACACACAGAGACACACTACTGACGGTGAGACACACAGAGACACACAGAGACACACTACTGACAGTGAGACACACAGAGACACACTGCTGACAGTGAGACACACAGAGACACACAGAGACACACTACTGACAGTGAGACACACAGAGACACACAGAGACACATTACTGATAGTGAGACACACAGACATACACAGAGACACACAAGGACAGCGAGACACACACAGACACACACACACAGACACACACAGAGACACACACACACAGAGACACACTCCGAGACACACACAGAGACACACACAGAGACACACAGAGAGACACACAGACACACAAAGAGGCACACAGAGACACACACAGAGACACACAGACACACACAGAGTCACACAGAGACACACACAGAGACACACACAGAGACACACACACAGAGAGACACACTCACATCGCGTGGTGCTCTCCTCGGGCAGGATGCGGTACACCTTGAACGCGTCGCCGCTCGCCGTCTGGCTGCGGTCGCTCAGCTCCTGGAAGTCGGGGCTCTTGTTGAGGGCGCAGCGCAGACGCGTCTTCCACGTGCTCGCGTCCGCACGGTCCTCGCCCGCTCGGTACTTGCCCTTGAAGATGGCCCACGCCTGCAGAGGGCGGGGGGGGGGGGGGGGGTGAGAGGGGGGGGGTGAGAGGGGGGGTGAGGGGAGTGAGTGGGGGTGAGAGTGGGGGGTGAGAGTGGGGTGAGTGGGGGGTGAGTGGAGGTGAGAGGGGGGTGAGTGGGGGTGAGAGGGGTGAGTGGGGGGTGAGTGGGGGGTGAGAGGGGTGTGAGAGGGGGGGTGAGGGGGGTGAGTGGGGGGTGAGAGGGGGGGGTGAGAGGGGGGAGACACGTGGGGGATGAGTGGAGGGTGAGAGGGGGGGTTGGAGGGAGGAGGGGTGGAAGGGGGGGTGGGAGGGAGGGGCGGGGAGAGGGGGCGAGAGAAGGGGTGAGTGGGGGGTGAGTGGGGGGTGAGTGGGGGGGTGAGTGGGGGGGTGAGTGGGGGTGTGAGGGGAGTGAGTGGGGGGTGAGAGGGGGGGTGGGAGGGGGGGTGGGAGGGAGGAGGGTGGGGGGGGTGAGGAGGGGGGGTGAGAGGGGAGACACGTGGGAAGGTGAGAGGGGGGGTGAAAGGGGGGGGGTGAGTGGGGGTGAGAGGGGTGAGAGGGGGGGGTGAGAGGGGGGATGAGAAGGGGGGTGGAGGGGGGGTGAGTGGGGGGTGAGTGGGGGGTGAGAGGGGGTGATTGGGGGGTGAGAGGGGGGTTGCGTGGGGGGTGAAGAGGGGGGGTGAGAGGGGGGTGAGTGGAGGGTGAGTGGGGGTGAGCTTGAGGTGGTGGGTGAGTGGGGGGTGAGTGGGGGGTGAGTTGGGGGGTGAGTGGGGGGTGAGGGGCGTGAGTGGTGGGTGAGAGGTGGAGGGGGGTGGGAGGGGGGGTGGGGAGGGAGGAGGTGGGGTGGGGGTGAGAGGGGGGTGAGAGGGGAGGCACGTTGGAAGGTGAGCGGGGGGTGAGAGGGGGTGATGAGGGGGGTGAGAGGAGGGGTGAGGAGGGGGATGAGTGGGGGGTTGAGAGGGCGGGGAAGAGGGGGTGAGTGGGGGGTGAGAGGGGGGATGAGAGGAGAGTGGAGGGGGTTGAGGAGGGGTGTGAGGGATGAGAGGGGGGAGAGGGAGTGAGTGTGAGGGTGAGATGAGTGGGGGTGAGAGGGGGTGAGAAGGGGGGTGAGTGAGGGGGTGAGGAGGGGGGTGACGAAGGGGGTGAGTGGGGAGTGAGAGGGGGGTGAGAGGGGGGTGAGTGGGGGGTGAGAGGGGGGTGAGTGGGGGGTGAAGGGGGGGTGAGAGGGGGATGAGTGGAGGGTGAGAGGGGGGTGAGAGGGGGGTGAGTGTGGGGTGACGAGGGGGGTGAGAGGGGGGTGAGTGGGGAGTGAGAGGGGGGTGAGAGGGGGGTGAGTGGGGGTGAGAGGGGGTGAGTGGGGGGTGAGAGGGGGTGAGAGGGGGGTGAGTGGGGGGTGAGTGGGGAGGAGTGGGGGGGATGAGAGGAGAGTGAGAGGGGGGTGAGTGGGGGCTGAGAGGGGGGTGAGAGGGGGGTGAGATGGGGGTGAGAGGAGGGGTGAGAGGGGGTGAGTGGGGGGTGAGAGGGGGGTGAGTGGGGGGTGAGAGGGGGGTGAGTGGGGGGTGAGTGGGGGTGCAGTGGGGTGAGGGGGGGTGAGAGGGCGGTGAGTGGGGGTGATAGAGGGGGGTTGAGAGGTGGGGTGTTGAGATGGGGTGAGAGGGGGGTGAGGGGGGGTGAGTGGGGGGTGAGCGGGGTGTGAGGGGGGGTGTGAGGGGGGGTGAGAGGGGGGGAGAGGGGGATGAGTGGAGGGTTGAGAGGGGATGAGAGGGGGTGAGTGGGGCGTGAGGGGGGGTGAGAGGGGGGGTGCGTGTGGGGTGAGAGGGGGGTGAGAGGGGGGTGAGTGGGGAGTGAGAGGGGGGTGAGAGGGGGGTGAGTGTGGGGTGAGAGGGGGGTGAGAGGGGGGTGAGTGGGGAGTGAGAGGGGGTGAGAGGGGGTGAGTGGGGGGTGAGAGGGGGGTGAGGGGGGGTGAGAGGGGGGGTGATAGGGGGATGAGTGGGGGTGAGTGGGGGGTGAGTGGGGGGTGAGTGGGGGGTGAGTGGGGGGGAGTGGGGGGGGGGTGAGAGGGGATGAGAGGAGAGGAGAGGGGGGTGAGTGGGGGGTGAGAGGGGGGTTGAGAGGGGGTGAGATGGGGGTGAGAGGAGGGGTGAGAGGGGGTTGAGTGGGGGTGAGAGGGGGGTGAGAGGGGGGGTGAGTGGGGGTGAGAGGGGGGTGAGTGGGGGGGTGAGAGGGGGTGAGTGGGGGGTGAGTGGGGGGTGAGTGGGGGGTGAGAGGGGGTGAAGAGGGGGGTGAGTGAGGAGTGAGAGGGGGGTGAGAGGGGGGGAGTGGGGGGTGAGTGGGGGGGTGAGAGGGGGGATGAGATGAGAGTGAGAGGGGGGTGAGAGGGGGGTGAGAGGGGGCGTGAGTGGGGGGTGAGTGGGGGGTGAGAGGGGGGGTGAGAGGGGGAGTGGGAGGGGGGGTGGGAGGGGGGGTGAGTGGGGGGTGAGAGGGGAGACACGTGGGGGGTGAGAGGGGGGGTGAGAGGGGGTGAGTGGGGAGACACGTGGGTGGTGAGAGGGGAGACACGTGGGAGATGAGCGGGGGGTGAGTGGGGCACGAGAGGGGGGGACGAGAGGAAAGAGACACCCACAACCTCCTTCATACCAGGCGAGCTAGTTCACATCAACTTAACATCCACGCCACCGTGGCCCCCCCTCCCGCCCCCCCCTCTCGCCCCCCCCCCCCTCTCGCCCCCCCCCCCCCGCCGGCCCCCGCCCCCCCCCCCCCCTCTCACGCCCCCCACCTTGAAGACGGCGGCATCCTCCTCGTGCCTGTACTCCTTCTTGCTCGCGTGCTTCCACGGGATGCGGAACGTGCTGCGCGCCTCGTCCTCCCACGCCAGGCCCGGGTACTTGCCGCCGTCCACCTGGTCCGTGATCCAGTGGCGCAGGCGGTAGGCGGCACAGCCAGCCGCGTGTGTCCTCTGCATGGCACCAGCACCAGCACCACCAGCAGCACCAGCAGCAGCACCACCAGCACCACCAGCAGCAGAACCACCACCAGCAGCACCACCAGCAGATCCACCACCAGCAGAACCAGCAGCACCACCAGCACCACCAGCAGATCCACCAGCAGAACCAGCAGCACCACCAGCAGAATCACCAGCAGCACCACCAGCAGCACCACCAGCAGCACCACCAGCAAATCCACCACCAGCACCACCAGCAGAACCACCAGCAGATCCAGCACCAGCACCACCAGCAGATCCACCAACAGCACCACCAGCACCACCAGCAGCAGCACCACCAGCAGCACCACGCCGCCTGCTGTCGCCTGCGCTCCACACCCCGAGCACAGGTTGAGCGTGCGATGCTGGCAAGTGGTCTGTGTAGTGTATGATGGTGTGTGTGTGTATGTGTGTGTGGTGTATATGTAGTGCCATAAGAGGGGAGGGGCTGCTGGGGGCTCTGGGATCCTAGGCAGATAAGCCTTGGCGCCAGGCGCTAGGATCCCAGGCACCCCAGACAGTTAAGCCCCTTGGCGCCACCAACGGGGGGGGGGGGGGGGCTGTGTGTGCTCTGTGGGATATCTGGGGGCGCCCACAACCCCACCCCTCGTTGGGGACGAGGCATAAAAGGGCAGTCGCAGCTCAAGACCCAAGACCAGCCAGAGTAGGACCCTGGACCCCCTCGTCCCACTTGTCCTTGTAAGGGCCGGGACGCTGTGAGGGCCAGTGGTGGGACTCTGCGACTCCCGGCTCTACGTCCCTGTAAGGGCGAGTTCCGAGGAAGCCAGAGTCCAGACCCGCACCTTGACTGGGTCGGGTCAGATTAGCCTCCCCTAGGGTAATTGTAGCCGGAGGACCCCAGAGCGTAGCCAGAGTAGGCTGTGTTCCGAGGCTGTGTCCATAGGCTGTGTACCTAGGCTGTCTACCTAGGCTGTGTATCTAGGCTGTGTACCTAGGCTGTGTATCTAGGCTGTGTCGCTAGGCTGTGTACCTAGGCTGTAACAGAGTATCAGGAGTGTTGGAGTGTTGTATTGTAATAAAGAAGCTACCTCTACAAGTGTCTCCGGAACCCATTACATACACGTGGGGAACGATAGTGCAGCAGTTAGCGCACTGCGCTATGAACCCGGCGACACGAGTTCGATTCCCGCTCACGGCCAACACGAGTGATAGCGATTATCTGAACCGGTCCTGGGCCTCTCCTAGGTCAACTCAGCCTCAAATGAGTACCTGGTGTGGTGTGTAAACATCACCGCTAGGGAGACAAAGGCGGCCGGGCGTGGTACTGGCTCCCACCCACTCGTGTGCCGTATCGGACTTCATAGATGCTATTCGCAAACAGCACTTGCCCCAACAGTCTGTTACAGGCTATATGGGGGATATTTGTCTTGGTGTGTGTGTGTGGCACAGTCGGTGGGCACCGGTGGTGCATCTGCCAGTCATCTCAGTCAATCAACCCATGGGCAACCTGGGTCTGTCCTGTGACCTCGTGCCCATCGGCGAGCCTTCGACACCTATCCTGGCACAGGCAACCGTGGTGACGTCCCCGCCACTAAGTTGTTGTTATAGAAACGTGCGTTCAGAGTATTTGGCTGCTATACATTTCCACGTGGTGATGATGATCATGATGATGATTAGCCACTTCGTTGAGCTCAGCGGGCCTTAGCTGGTAACATTGAACATAGAGAGTTTTAGATATTCTTAGGTTTTTTTCGGTAAAGTCACGTAGGTAAAAAATTAAAATTAATAAAAGTAAAATAAAAATAAAATAAAAATCACGACGTTTCGGAGGCAACACAAGCTTCCGTCTTCAGGTGGAACCGTCACAGCACGATAGCTGTATCAAGTGAGAGAAATTCCAAGAAAACAGTATTTGTATATATACTGGTTGAGGGTGGGAGGAGCCAAGGTAGGCCCGGAATATAATTTTTGTGAGGTTCGATGCGGCTGAGTTCATTAGTGAGACTTTTTAACGCAGCAAAGAGCCTCACTCAGTCTCACGTGGCTTTTCGTCAGGAAGCTCCTGCCAAGGTCTTAGTTAGTGGAGCGAGGTGGTGATGGTGGTGACGGTGACGACGATTTGCTACTGCTGTTCGTCATATATCGATATCAATGACGACTTCAATCTGTATGTGTGTCTCAGAAACCCCTAGGGTACTTCCCGACGAGGTATAAAGATGAAATCTGGTACGTCAGGTGGCTTTTAGGACACAGACAACAGGAACGATCTGAAAATCCGAGATGTTTTAAAAGCCACAAATCTCGAGTTTAAGTGCCCCATAAACGTGTCTGTGCGTGTGGTTTACGTTTGGTGGAGCGTTAAACAGCAAATAAAATTTAAGAGAGGACCATTGTTGTATCTTTTGTTTTTTTTTTATATTTTGGATTCTAGCGGTTTTGAATGAAAAAATACGCATTTTGTGATGTTCAAATCTGATTAATTCTAAAACGATAAAAGATAAGAGCTACAACCTCAAGCCCGCGTGTTAAACTCCTCTCGTAGAGTATTAAGTTCATTGCATTTTTGTTCTTTCTCATACAAAAAATTACGAAATCTTTAAATTGAGAAAGTTTCCAGACGGGAACGTCTTTAAATATAAGAAGTTGAATCAATTCTAGATTTGAAGCTTTCGTGACTGCAAGGATTCATACTCTTAGGTTCTTTCGGTAAAGTCACGTAGGTAAAATAATAATAATATTAAAATAATAATAAATGAGAAAAACTAAATTAAATCACGACGTTTCGGAAGCAACACAAGCCTCCGTCATCAGGTGTAATAGCTACAGTAATTTTACTGGAGCAGTAACACCTGATGAAGTTGAATCAAGTCGTCAACAATTGTTGTGGGTTTTTTTGGCGGAAAAATACAAATGGTTGTTCGTGTCTGATCGTAGATAAACATTGTAAACAAAAATAATATCAGGTTAATTATTATATTTGTAATGAGAGCCTATGTCCGGCTCACGTGGTGATCGGCTCTGCCGGTCCTGCTCTACAGCCAATGGGGGGAGAGCCTGGGAGCATAGCCCTGGCGTGATCGAGGGATGTCAGCTAGGATGATTGGTTCTGCTGGTCTTGGCCTCAGCCAATGGGAAGACAAGTCAGGGGCGTGGTCCCGGGAGTTGATGGGGAATCTGGAACATTCAGCGCAGGCTATTAAGGATTGGCTGGAGCGTACCACGTGACCCAGGCGTTAAATAAGGGAAGAGCCGAGGGACACGTGGTCAGACGAGGAACGAAGAGAGAGAGGGGCCACGCGCGAGTGGGGCTCCGAGTGCCGCGTGGCGGTGCGTCTCTTGCGATCTGTCTGCCCACTCCCCGTTGCCTGCCAGCAACGGGGAGTGCTTGTGAACTGAGATAAGTAAATAAAAGGACCGATTCCACAAGCCGTCTCCGAGAGTATTATTACATATTTATTGAAAATTTCTGCCTGGCGAAGACATCCCTCAATGAACCAGCCTAGTATTGAAGCCCGGCGTTCCGTTTGCACGTTTGTTTGTCAACTAAATGATGAGAGCCCTTCACAAGGCCTGAATGAAAAAGGTTAAGAGAAATATACATGGCCACAAAATACAGCGAGATATCCACTGACTCTATTGTGTGCAGAGTCAGTCGGTAGATATCTACTGACTATTGTATGTAGGGTGCGTAGGCATATATAGAGTCAGTAGATACTACTATAGAGTGAGTAGAAACTACTGACTCTATAGTACAGGGTGTTTGAAAAAGACGGACCCCATTTGAAATCGCTATATCTCTGCAACCACGAACCGCCCATGAATGAAACTCTTACCACTTGAAAGGGCGGGGCATAGAGAGGGCGGGGCATAGAGAGAGGGCAGGGCATAGAGAGAGGGCGGGGCATAGATTTTTAAACGATCACCGCTAGATGCCTCTCCCAGCGCACAAACAGCCCCTAGCCTCAGTCATTCGCAAGATGGTGACCCCGCAACACACAAGGCGTTTTGCATTCTGCAGTTCAGCGAGACTGAATCCGTAATTGCGGTGCAGCGTGCGTTTCAACGGCGTTTTGGCCTTGATCCGCCAATGTCAAAGAGCATTTGTCGTTGGTACCGACAATTTGAGGAAGCAGGCTGTTTGTGTAAGGGGAAGAGCACAGGGCGACCACGCAACTCAGAGGGAACACGTGAGAGAAGAGAGGCGTTTTCGACGAATTCAACTGTCGTCTCGATGTTGTCCGTACAGCAGGTGGAGGGCACATAGAGCATTTATAAAATAGTTAGTAAAACGTGATGACTCATTAAACCGTTTGTAACTTTTTCTGTAATTCTAAAATGTTGCCATCGTGAAATATACCGCTTTGAAATTGGGTCAATTTGTTTGAAACATCCTGTATATAGGTTGTGTAGGTACAGTGGTACCCCAGAGATCGAACTTAAATCGTTCCAGAAGGCCATTCGAACACCGATTTGTTCGAACACCGAATTAATTTCCCCCATAAGAATTAATGTAAATTACATTGGTTCCAGACACAAGAAATCTCTCGTTATAAAGCATTTGTACGCGAAGTTTACAGTAATTACATGCATAAAATAAAAAAAGAAACACAATAAATGGAATAAATGAATATATGGAATAAATTAAATAAATTAACATTGAACTTTACCTGTAGTAAGAAGAGTTGTTGGCTTGAGTGGAAGGTGGTGAGGAGGTGGTGGTGGTGGCGGTGTTATTGTTTGGAAGGGGATTCCCCTTTGTCTGGGCAAGCGTCATGCACGCTGGGCCATACGCGTCTCAGCCGTACAGCTCTTTTCAAAATTGCCCGTTTGACCTCCGAGTTTCGTTCGGTTTCCGGGACAAAAAAATGTTCGGAAATATCGTTCGAACACCGATTTGTTCGAGTTCTGGTGCGTTCGATCTCCGAGGTTTTGCTGTATATAGAGTCAGTAGATACTACTATAGAGTGAGTAGAAACTACTGACTCTATAGTACAGGGTGTGTAGCTATATAAGGAGTCAGTATGCGCAGCTGTGGCGCAGTGGTTAGCGCACTGCGCTACGAACCCCTACTCACGACCACCAATGGCAGTGCTGGGCTGGGCCTCTCGTGGGTTGACTCGGCCTCAAATGAGCAGCACCCGGTGCGTTGTGTCAATATCAGCACCGGGCAGACGTATATACACAGCACTGTGTAGGCAACGTGAACTTTGTTGAGGCCAAAGACGTCGAACAGCCCAGGGCAGAACAGCGCTGTCATCGAAGTCGTGAATAAGGAGGGTGTAGCACGTGTCAACGGGTGATTGTTCTAAGAGCTTGGGGGGGGAAGACACGAAGACGAGTGATGGTGGTGTCGGGAGAAGGGGAT